CACGGCGCCCGCCGCCGCCCCGCCGGCTCACGGGTCGCTTCTTCCAACCCCCCCTCCCCAAGGTGCCGTCGGTGGAGAAGGTTTTGAAGGCGCTGGCTGGTCTGCCCCGAAGTGACTTTGCAGAGATGATTCGCCAGGTTGGAAGGGGTCGGGGTGAAGCAAGGAGGGGGGTTCTGGTGCCCACAGGCAGCTCTGGACAAGCCTCTCAGCACCCCATCTTACCTCCCAGGGCAACGGCACCTTCAACTCCATCCCGGAGCTGGCTGTGGAGAGGATGGCACAGGTCATCCAGGGTGAGTGGGACAGCCAGGGCGAGCGGGGACACCCCTTGTGGGGCAAATCCCAATCTGGGGACTTGGGGTGGGAGGGGGGGGAGAAGCCACCCCTCCAGCACGGCCTTGGCCCTGCAGATCTGCGGGAGGAGATGGCCCGTGTTACAGAGAAGGTGCAGTCCATCGCCGATGGCTTCCCCCTCCCTGACTACACCGGGCCCATCAGCGATGTCCTGGTGAAGGCAGAGGACAGGAGCCAGCCCTACCTCCGGGAGGTGGAGCGCTTTGAGCAGTACAGGTGACCCCGGGGAGCACAAAGGGGAGCAGGGGGTGTGGCAGAGATGGGTGATAAGCACCCCCCGAGCCCCAGCTGCTGCATCCACCCCGTATCTCGAGGCTGTGCCCTGCTGCTCTTCCCTCCAGGTGGATCGCGGGCACGGTGCTGTGCTCCATCATCCTCCTCATCCTCGCCTGCAACGTGACAGGGATGGCCCTGGGGACCTACGGGCTCTCCAAGCGGGAGGACCCGGGTGACTATGAGTGCCGAGGAGAAGCTGGCGCCAAGTTCCTCCTGGTGTAAGCATCTCTCCAGGTGCTGGAGGCTGAGGGGGGAAACTGCTGCCATCTCACCACCCCTCCTCCCCCTCCCCAAAACCAGAGGGGAAAAGCCAAGGGAGAAACCAGGAGCTGGCCAAGACAAAAGGCTTTTGAAGCCACCGCCTGTGCCGGCGGGTTTGGGAGAAGCTGCTCCTCCCTGGGCGCTGGCAGCTCCCACATCCCAGCCCCGCTCCCCAGGGCCCTTCCCAGGCGGCCGGCGTGCCCGGGCGCGGGATGGAGCCACGGGGCTGCAGCTGGATGGGCAGGTCCCCACAAGCTTTTTCTGCTCGTCCGGGTCTGCAAAAGCCACCTCCTCTGCCTCTTCACAGCGGCGTGGGCCTGGCTTTCCTGTTCTCCTGGCTCCTCATCCTCCTGGTTTTCGCCACCTTCCTGGTTGGGGGCAACATCCAGACTCTGGTTTGCAGGAATTGGGTCAACCAGGAGATTTTTAAGGTGGGTGACCAAGTATCCACCCATTGTCCCATAGGTCTCTGCTTGTGTGGACCAAAATGCCCCCAAAACTTTGTGTCCTTTCCCTAAACCCACCTAGAAAAGCTCCATCCCAAACCAGAAGGCTGAATTCAGGATTAGATCCTTGGATTTGCATCAGCAGGGGGGAATTGCCCTTTGTGCTGTTAATTTCCTGCAGGTGACAATGTTCTTACCTGCAGGACCCCTGTCCTGTGCTCCTCAGGGATCCCAGGGCTGCTCGGGGCGGGTGGTACACTGCAATGGGACTGGGACTGGGGTTGGGAATGGGAATGGGATTAGGGCTGGTTCTGTGCTCTGCACACGCAGGCAGGTCCCTGCATGTCCCCCCAAACGCAACCTGGCGAGGCTCTGCAAATGGGGTCTGTAAATAAATGGAAGGGAAGAACAGCTCTGGCTAGGATTGGGTACTCCAGGACGCACCAGTGGGGGCACAGCATCCCCAGAATCACTGCTGGGAATGCCTCTGCCCACCCCCAACCCTCTTTTTCTCCCTCCTGTTTGTCCCAGTTCATCGACACCCCCGGGAACCTGCCTCCATCCATGAACCTCACCCGCCAGCTCAACATCAGGAGGGACTCCAACCTCAGCACCACGTACCGGTGGGTGCTGCAGGTGCCACCTCTGCCCCTCCACCTCGGGGACCTGCTGAGGGTGATGCCACCAGTGTCCCTTTGCCTTCCAGGGAGTGCAAGAGCGGCGCGGGGCTGTGGGAGGTGCTGCAACTTGACAGGTCCTACGACCTGGATGAGCATCTAAAATCCCCCAAGGTGAGGGCTGGCTCCAGCCAGAGCTTCTGGCAATGGTGTGAGGATGCAGGAGCTTTACTGGGCTTACTGGGATGGAGGTGGCCGGCCCCAGCCCTGCAGCCTCCCCCTGCTCTCACCCCTGGAGCTTTACTGGGCTTACTGGGATGGAGGTGGCCGGCCCCAGCCCTGCAGCCTCCCCCTGCTCTCACCCCCGCAGTACACGGCTGATTTCCAGAAGCTCCTGGGCGACTTCACCACGCGCTTGGGCGACGTGCGGCTGCTCCGCAGCGAGGGCCGCCAGGACCTGGAGACCTTTGCCCGCAGCGGCGTGGACGAGGTGGACTATGGGCGCTTCCAGGAGGAGGTGAGGGAGAGCTGGTTCCCAGCGCGGTGGGTAGGACGTAGCCCAGCCTCTCCAGGGTTGACTCCCAGGTTTCTGGGGCAGCCACCAAACTCCATTCTCCCCGCAGATGAAAAACCCAGTGGTGCAGACCAGCCTGCCCGGCTTGGCGAGGAGCCTCGAGGGGCTGCAGAAAATGCAGGTGAGCGGTGGGTTGGGTGGTGGGGGCTGCCTGTGTCCCCATGGGGACATCCTCACCCCGTTGTTTTCCCCCCCAGAGGAACGGCACGGTGGCAGGGCGGCTGGCCGCCGAGGCCCGGGCCCTCTGGCAGATGCAAAACTCCACAGTGCAATCACAGGAGGCTTTGGTGGTGAGTCCGTGCTGGGCTGGTGGCTCGTGATGCTGCTGGTGTTTGCCCGGTGGTGTCCCCGAGAAAGGAAGGATGGGGATTTTTCACCCTTCTCACCTCCCTGTCCCACAGGCAAAGCTGGGGGAAAGCGTCCAGTTCCTCTCCCGCTTGGCGCCGCGTCTCCAGGTACTTGTGTGGTTTCTTACAACTCAACAAAACATCTGGCACCCCATGGGTCCCACCTGCCAGGGCCCCAAAAAGCCAGTTACAGGGTGATGGGAGAGCCAGGAAAGCTACCACCCAGGGGGAGGATCGGTCTCCTGGATTTGCTGCTGCAGATCAGAACTCCCCCTGCAGCATTTCAGAGCCACCCCCTGCTGTTTAACCTCCCTGCTCCCTGCAAGGAGGTTTCTCTGCTTTGGGGCAGGTCCCTCCTTCCCTGCTTTCTAGAAATTATCCCAAATTCCCAGCACCCCTGGGACATTCCTCCTGCTGCTGGGTGCTCTAAGGATGCTCTTCCCTTCCCGTGCTTCCCCAGGAGCGGGTGAAGACGACACTGGCCACCACGGCCTCGGTGGAAGCCCGGCTGCCTGTGCAAGCCCAGCAGATCCTCAGGCAGGTGAGCCAGGCCTGGATTCACACCTAGGGGGTACAAAATCACAGAATCACAGGGGTTGGAAGGGACCTCTGAAGATCATTGAGTCCAACCCTCCTGCTGCAGCAGGAACACCCAGGGCAGGTCACACAGGAATGTGTCCAGATGGGTCTTGGAAGTCTCCAGAGAAGGAGACTCCACAGCCTCTCTGGGCAGCCTGTCCCAGGGCTCTGCCACCCTCACAGAAAAGAAGTTTCTCTTCATGCTGAGGTAGAACTTCCTGGGCTGTAACTTGGTGCCCTTTCCCCTCGTCCCATCACAGACACCACTGAAAAGAGATTGTCCCATTCTTGACACCCACCCTGCAGATATTTATAGACATTAATCAGGTCCCCTCTTAGCCTTCTCAAGACTAAACAGCCCCAGGTCTCCCAGCCCTTCCTTGTATGACAGATGTCCCAGTCCTTAACCATCCTCCTAGCTTTTGATTGGGACTCTTCCCAGTCTATCCCTCTTGAACTGGGGAGCCCAGAGCTGGACACAATACTCCCCACAGCCAGAAAGAAAGAGTGAGAATGGGGCACTTAGAAGGGAAAGGGGCACCTGAAGCCTCCAGTTTCCAAACCAGACATGACAAGCTGGTTGGAGAGGGGCTGGGGCTGGGCTGGGCACCACGGTGCCTGCCCTGGGAACCATGGTGCCTGCCCTGATGCTGCCTGCCCTGGGAACCATGGTGCCCTGCCCTGATGCTGCCTGCCCTGGGAACCATGGTACCCTGCCCTGATGCTGCCTGCCCTGGGAACCATGGTACCCTGCCCTGATGCTGCCTGCCCTCTGCCCAGGAGATCGGCTGCTTCACGCGGCGGGAGCTGCGCTACTTCTCTCAGTACCTCAGCTGGGTGGGACAGACGGTGAGTGCTGCCCCTTGGGACCCCTGGGGGTGCTGCCTGCAAAGCCCCTCGCCGAGCCAGGGCAGCAAAACATGTCACCAACCCCTCTGAGCCCAGATGTCTCTGCCTCTCGTTGCAGCTGAGGGAGGACGTGGCTTCGTGCCAGCCGCTCGCCACGGCGCTGGACAACGGGGGGGTGATCTTGTGCGACCGCATCGCTGAGCCCTGGGTGAGGAACCCAACCCTGGCCCTCCGAGAGACCCCTCCATGGAGACCCCTCCATGAAGGGTGCCCATGGAGACCCCTGCACAAAGGGTGCCCATGGAGACCCCTGCACAAGGGGTGCCCATGGAGACCCCTGCACAAAGGGTGCCCATGGAGACCCCTCCATGAAGGGTGCCCATGGAGACCCCTCCATGGAGGCCTCTCCACAAAGGGTGCACCCTTGACAAGGGGTGATCATGGAGGCCCCTCCAGGAACTGGCAGTGAGATGCTGCTCCGTGCACCAGATCCTCCACCATCTCACCACCACCACCAGCCACCACAAGGCTCCCCCAAACTCCTTCAGGCTCAGCAGGGCCCCCTGTGTTCTCTTCTTTGCAGAACGCTTTCTGGTTCAGCCTGGGGTGCTGCACCTTCTTCCTCATCCCCAACATCATCTTCGCCATCAGGCTCACCAAACACTTCCGCCCCATCCGGAACCGGCTCATGTAAGGGGTGGGCAAGGGGTGGGTGGGTGGGCTGCCTGGGGTGACACACACATCTCAGGATCTCCAGACCCCCTTGATTTCTAACCTTCCTCACCTGGGTAAGGAGTCTGAGTGTAGAACTCAGCAACAACAGATCAAGCAGGCACCTTTTATCCCAGCACTGCCATAAATGCCGCAACTCAGTGCCCCAGACTGACAGTATTTATATATTTTCAAGACCATCTATCATCATCTACCTACAAAGGCAACAGTTTCCAATTTTCTTGATTGATCAGCAACAATTTGGCCATGCAGGCAAGTTTTCTTACCAGAGTCCTGCCTGGATCCTCCTTGGATAAATGGTCACATTGTCTCGGGACCCTCCTTATCCTGCCCCACGAGGCATCTTGACACACGAGTCATTTTCAGAACGACATACAAGGTTACCTAGTTCATGTATCATAATTCACATGCGTTTGGTTCTACTTATTGAGGAGCTCTTCTATCAGGGGAGGGCACAGGGAGGGGAGATACAGGCCCCTCCTCAAGCCCCTGATGTTTTTCTCCTCCTCCTGCAGCTCCACAGGGTCAGAGGAGACGTGTCCCTTCCACATCCCCCGTGTCACGGCGCTCAAGCTCTAGGTCGGGCTGTGCCGGGAGCTCTCCCGGTGCCCCGGGCACTGCCGGGCTCCAGGTCCCTCCCGCATCTCACAGGGTCCCTCCCACCCCTCTGAGGAGACGTGTCCCTTCCACATCCCCCGTGTCACGGCGCTCAAGCTCTAGGTCGGGCTGTGCCGGGAGCTCTCCCGGTGCCCCGGGCACTGCCGGGCTCCAGGTCCCTCCCGCATCTCACAGGGTCCCTCCGACAGCTCTTCCTCGGTGTCTGAGCATCCCTCCCGGGCACGGGGCACAGACCCGCACACCCTGCGGGGCTCGGGGTCACTGACATCTCCCCCTCAGCGTCCCCCGGGGTCTGAGCCTCCCCCCTGGGCGCGGGACACGCACTCGATGCTCTGCGGGGCTCCGGGTCCCTCTCACGTCTCTTCCTCGACCACCCGGGGTGTCTGAGCACCCGCCAGGGACAGCCCGGGGGGCACAGGGGGGTTCCCCGCAGCCCCCACCGGGCGGGGGCACAAATAAAGTCCTCCCCAAAC